AGTGGAGGGACATCTGATTAACTTAATTTTATCTCATTGTGGTTGTGACGAACAGGAGAACTGTCATGATGTTTCCAAACCCTTGCTTTAATGGGTGGCCCCACTCAGGTAGAGGTGCCAGCGCTGTTGGCTCATGCTCAGTACCTTCTCCACAGGAAGGCTGGTGACCCATATTTGAGTGAGATTTTAATTCCTTTAAGGAGAACCTATGTATCATTAGGTAATTTCTGATATTCATTATCTTTATTTCTTCTTTTTAAACACGTCTTTAAATTTTCAGCTCAGCATCCATCTGGATCAGAGTGAATTAGGGGAATGTTTCGGAGCAGGTCAGCAAACTCCTTCTCAAGTCAGGCTGACAATGCAGCTTCCTACAATGTAGACACCCAGGTTCTTGCATTTGGACTGGAGACCAGGTCTCTCCTTAAACTCGTCCATCCTGAGGCACTGTAAGCCGTTCATATCCTGACTTACCTGTTCCCTCAGACCCATCTTCTCACTGATGTACTGATTTGTTCATTCCATAGCATGCCAGGTGTAATGCTATGGATTGGAGAGACAACACTGAACCAAACAGACACACTTGGAGGAGAACGAACAGTCTCACCAGGGAGACAGACAAGTAGATATGCGGTTTTATAACAGAGTGCCAAGATTTATAATAGGAGTAAGAACAGGATGCGATGGGAACTTACAAGACAGGTCAGCCAGGAGAAATCAAAGGAGGCTTCCTGACAGAGGTGGTGTCTGAGCTGAGACTTGCGCGATGAACTGAATTCCACCAGGTGCAGGAGTGGTGGTGGTGGTTGGGGAAGGGAATGAAAGTGAGAGTGTTCCAGGCAGAAGGGACAGTAGCTACAAAGACCTGAAAGCAAAAACGTGACAGAATCACATTTGTCTTTAGAAAGAGCGCCCTGGCTGTTGTGAAGAGAACGGATAGCAGACAGGGAGACCAGCCAGGAGGATGCTGAGAGATGAGAGTGACTTGAACTGACTTAATGGCAGAAACGTAGACAGGCTCAAAACATAGTTGATAGATAAAGGGATCAGAGCTCAGTCACTTATTGGCTGTGGAGACGAGGGAGGAGTCTGGAATGACTTGGACAACTTGCACTGGGATGAGGAACCCTGGAGTATGAGTTTACCCGGGAGGAGGCAGGTTCCGTGTGGGTTGACCTAAGTGAATGTGTCCAGTGGGAGGTTCTGGTCTCAGAAGAGAGATCTAGGTTCAAGGTAAAAACCTGGGATCATCGTGATCCAGGTGGCAAGTGAAGCCAGGAGAGCAGCTGAGCCAAGCCAAGGAGAGAGGGGAGGGAGGGTAAGAAGCAACACGTCTAGAGCAGAGTCCTGAGGAATGTACCATGTGGGGGAGGCTGAGGTGGACTTCCAGCAGACGGGGGACCGGGAGGGAGGGGCATCGCAGAAGATAAGGAGACGGGAATGGTGTCTTCAAAGGTTAACAACCATATTTCACTGACTAGAAGATGCCACGGATTGTAAGACACACCAATATTTTATGGCCACAAAGAAAGAATGCTGCCAATTAAATGGTGATTCCCCAGTGCATGGGGGTACCTTTTGTTCTTCGGTGATCACGCTAGGGAATGAGAGATGAGTGTGGGTGTAGGGCTTGTCCTTGCTTCTGATTGGCAAGCTGACCTAGGAAGTCATTCCTCCCGGGATGTAACTTGCAAGCAGCCTGCCAGATGCTCTGTATCCTGCCCTTTGACACTTTCCCCAAGTTGCATGGGTCACAAACACATTTCTCATTTGCCAGAACAGTCTTGGGTTTGTTTTGAGTCCGGCAGGTCCTCCAACACCAGATTCTTAAATCTCACTAACATGATCTAGATGAAAAATGCTGCCTTGCCAGGAAGAAGGGTTGCATGATTTTCAATGTGAAATACTTTTTTGTGGTAGGAAACTACCCTCCATTTATTGTTTCTGTCAAAACCTTTGCTTGGGAGACTTTTTCCAATGGGCATGTTGTCATTTCTGAGGATGCCCTTATTTATTTCATGGTCAGTTTCAACCACAACATGGTTGCCCTTTGTTTTAAGCAATAGGTATGAAGAAGTTGTTTCTAAACTGGATTTTTACAGATAAATTCACATGTTTAATACACACGAAGAGCTATCATTTTTCGTCATGGGTTCTTTTATAATTAGAAAAATGACTACCAGATTTGTTTGAGAAGTATAATGCTCAGATGAAGTAATTTTATTAAGCATCAGGCAAGATTACCAATGCTCTTCAAATCACAGTAGTTCTTGCTTAGTTGCCCACTACATCCCAACAGGAGACGGTGAGTTTTATAAATTCTGCGTCTCTCATTGATATTCAAGGTGCTCACTCAGGACAGTCTATCCCTGTAAGAGCCACTTCTCTTTCCTGCCTCATCTTTCAGGGGAGAAAGTGGGGTGCTCGCTCAGAGCTGGGACTAGTCATGATGTTCTGCTGGACTATTCGGTAACCTGTTCAGTTTCATGGGCCTCTCACCTAGATTTTTATGATTCTGTGTGTTCTGGTTATCTATTTCTATGTAACAAACCTCCCCTACATTGAGTGGCTTAAGCAATTCATTTTTGTTTCTCACCATTCTGTGGATTTTTGCTCAGATGGTTGGTTCTCACCTGGGCTTCCCACCTGTGGTTGTAGTCCAGTGTTGGCTGGGGCTGCGGGCATCTGATGGCTGAGCTGGGCTGAGTGGCCACGATGGCTCATTTACCTGAGTGGCAGAGGCTGGTCGTCAGCTGAGAACTTGGCTGGGCTGTCCACCAGAGCACCTCTACGTAACCTCTCATGTGGCTCCTTCTTCCTGAAACACCCGGCAGAAGCTGCAAGGCGTCTTATGACCTTGTCTCAAAATCCCAGACAGCACTTCTGCCACATTCTATTGCTCAAGGCCAGGGACCAAGGTCAGTCCAGATTCAAGGGGAAGAGAACTGGGATCTGCCTATTGATGTGAGTTGCAGTGTACAGATGGGGTCCATTTATTGACTACCATCGTGTGTCAGAAGAAGAGCGTTCTCTAGAGGAGTCAGATTAAATAAATATGAAAGGCAGGAGAAGCATTGTGATTCGGTGGAGGGAGCTTAGGGAATGATTAATATGTTTGAACGAACTGGCCAGGCTGGTTGGGTAGGACTCGGTACTACTAGGGAGGACTAGGGAGCACACACTGAATGAGCCTATCTCCACGGAAACCAGGTAGCATCCACAGAGAGAAACATTCCCATCCACTGGCCGCAGCCCTAAATTAGTCCTCTCAGACAACATGGTAAGGGGGTTGAAATAGCACGGTTTTAAAGGCATATTTACCTAAAAGCTCCCCCACACACGTGCCCTCCTCGTATGGAGTCAGTAAAACCATCTTCATAAATCAGAACTGCACATTATTTCACAAACACAAGGAGAACTGTGCAGAAATGTGTCTAGTGCACTTGTTTCTCAGCCCACACGGTAGAAGTGCTCAGAGAAGCCCGTGCCCAAGGAGTACTTATATACCTAGAATCACACTGTTGGGTGTTTAAGAAAAGGTTACGTTCTTTCTGTCCAGCTGCTTGAAAGTGATTGCCTTTGTAGCCTGAATTAGGAAAACAGCTGTCCTGTTGATCATACTGCGTCACGGTACCTGGGTTCCAGCTGTGGAGTGTGGCAGGGGTTGTCAGGGTTACCTGTCACCCATGTAGCATTGTTTTGTTCCCTGCATACGCCTCTCTGGCTCCCTGGGGATTCACATTTGTGTTTATCTGTGCTGAAAATGTAGAGGCAAGATAAACAACACTTCAAGCTATTTATAACCAGAGGCTGTGCCAGGAGTGAATTAGGCTTTGTGTTAGACACATGTTAAAATGTTGGTTGCTGGGCTCAGTTGGTTGGAGCATCATTCCATATACCAAAAAGGTTGCAGGTTCGATTCCTAGTCAGGGCACATACCTGGGTTGCAGGTTTAATTCCTGGTTGGGGCACATACGGGAGGAAAGTGATCAATGTTTCACTCTCACATTAATGTTTTTCTCTCTCTTCCTTCCTTTCTCTCTAAAAATCAATAAACGTATCCTCAGGTGAAGATTAAAAAATATACATTTGGCCACTGGGAAAGGTAGGAAGAATATCCCCCGGTGTGAAAAGCAGATATTTAGAGACTGATAGAAGTTTGACCCAGAACATGGCTACATGGGATTAGAACTCTGTTGATTTATGAAATACACTGTCGTGGAATGCTAAGCATTTAGGGTACTGGAGATGCCATTTATATAGGGCCTATATTTTTATGCTACCAGGAGGGCAGTTGACAAGGGTGAGGAGCGTGGAAGAGGCATGGGTGAGAGGGTGAGGAATGGCGCCCCGTACAAACATGAACCTGAGGCAGTGGACAGACCATGGGAAGAGATGGACCCCACTCTTCCCTGACTTCGTCCACACAGATCATCCTAAACAGAGGAGACCTTGCCTGTTCTTGGCTCCGCTAAAGAGTCCACACCCTCCCCACAATAGCCTAATGTATATCCATAGTTCCCCTTCCTTCCTCAGTTCTATTTGGACTCTGAGTCTGGAGAGAACTCCTACTGTGCCAGGTACTGTGTTACGTGGAGGGATAAAACGCATGAATTCTCATGCTGGGCAACAGACAATAAGCCAACAAATACATAATGGAATTTCAGATTATGATTGTGTTTTGGAAAAATGGTTGGGGGGGAGGTGTGCTAAAGAATAACAAGGGATTCTCGTAGGATGTTCAGGGGATAACATGTACGATCCCAGAGTCATTGATTAAAACTTTGACATGTACTTTATGGTATTTTAAAGATTCTTAAATTGCATGTTGTTAAGGTTCAAATGAAAATCACTGTTGCCCTTTCTGAGCCCAAGGTGCAAAACACTAAATGGACAGTATTTCTGGGGAGCATTTCTGGGGAGCAGGGGGGAACCACCTTGATAGCTGATCCCTCCTGGACCCAGACGACGCCTTCCTCATCACCACTTTCTCTCCTTAGGGAAAGGAGATGTGTTTGGAGATGTGTTCTGGAAGGAAGCCACCCTTGCCCAGTCCTGTGCCAACGTTAGGGCCCTGACCTACTGTGACCTGCACGTGATCAAACGGGACGCCCTGCAGAAAGTGCTGGAGTTCTACACGGCCTTCTCCCACTCCTTCTCCCGGAACCTCATTCTCACCTACAACTTGAGGAAGAGGGTGAGCGGGCAGTTTCAGTTTCCTCTCTACCCGGAACAGTCCGTGCGCGCTTAGGATGGCCACGTGGCCAGGATGGTCCTGCCATGGTCCCTTTAAGTGGAACCCTTGGTTCTATAGGGGTTCTGTTCACTGCTTGCTCTTTGGAGCTTTTACTATAAAATGGGGGGAAGAGAATGTTATTAGGTTAAAAGATGGGTCAGGTTTGGAGCAGAACAGATTCATTCCTGAGTGTGTCTCTGTGCTTTCTCCCAACAATATCTAGACATTCTGGCATTTAGGAAAGATGAGTAAATATGAAATTGTTAGTAAAAAAAAAAAGGCTGTGTGGGGCCCCTCCATTAATGAAAATGAATTCTCCCTGGTGATGGGGACCCCCCGAGTGGTGTGAGGACATTAGCCAGCTGCCAATAATAATTTTTAAAAGGTATGACAATGATATAGTTGGGTCCAGAAAATAAGAAAAAAATGGTATATGATGGCCTAGAGAATGTTTTACATACAAATGCCAATTTCACTGGTTGAGTGGAGCAGTCCGTGCGCGCTTAGGATGGCCACATGGCCAGGATGGTCCTGCCATGGTCCCTTCAAATGGAACCCTTGGTTCTATAGGGGTTCCGTTCACTGCTTGCTCTTTGGAGCTTTTACTATAAAATGGGGGGAAGAGAATGTTATTAGGTTAAAAGATGGGTCAGGTTTGGAGCAGAACAGATTCATTCCTGAGTGTGTCTCTGTGCTTTCTCCCAACAATATCTAGACATTCTGGCATTTAGGAAAGATGAGTAAATATGAAATTGTTAGTAAAAAAAAAAAGGCTGTGTGGGGCCCCTCCATTAATGAAAATGAATTCTCCCTGGTGATGGGGACCCCCCGAGTGGTGTGAGGACATTAGCCAGCTGCCAATAATAATTTTTAAAAGGTATGACAATGATATAGTTGGGTCCAGAAAATAAGAAAAAAATGGTATATGATGGCCTAGAGAATGTTTTACATACAAATGCCAATTTCACTGGTTGAGGAATATTAGTAGTTTGGGGAACCAAAAGGTTTCTCATATGAAGTTGTTTATAGAGCTTATTGCTCCATCTGACTGTGAGGATCAAAAGATTTGTCTTGTACTCTAGGTTTTCATGATTGATTTCCTTGCACTTTATTTAACTCTTTTATTTGAGTCAGTACCAACGTAGCTCTGGACCTACTGGAATCATCTCAGAATCTTACCCCCCAAGCTCTGTATCGCTGTTAACATTGTCGGTATTGCCCCGAGGTTCCAAGTTAGGAGCCCCGACCCCATCCTGATGCTTTTTCTCCCCTCCCACACCCCGGGTGACCTGCTCATCAGGTCCCGTTGGTTCCACCTGGGCTTCCAAACCTGCATCCACACTGTGCTTCCCCCTCTGGGCTCTCCCTGAGCTCTCAGGACACAACGCCCCTGATACAGACCCTCCCCACATCCTGGACGGTGCACGAGGCTCCAAACACACCTTGCATCTGTCCTCGGTGCTGCGCTTTCTCATGTGGCCACTTCAGTGACCTTAACAACTAATCAGATCCACCCCTCCCCTCTGTGAAAATGATTTCCTCCCACTCTGACGACAGGATAATGTCTGTACACTTCAGTATGGCTTATATGGTCTTCACATCTGGCCCAAGCTTAACCCCAAGCCCTAAGCTCAGTCACTCTTCCCACACCCACCTCTGCCACCCTGAACATTCCCACCCTGGGAACTCTGTGCAGCTCAACAGCCACCCACCCCCTGGGCACAGTGCCTCTGCAGGCCACTTCCTGGGCCTGGGATTCTTTCCTCTCTTTCTGTGTGAGACAAACGCCTGTTAACCCTTCAGATTCTGCTGAAATGTTTATGTTTTCGCTCATCAAACCCAGCACATACCAATGAACTAGACAAACATATACAACTGAATGGCACTCAGCGCCTGTCTCCAGGAACCTGGATCTCATAGGGAAGATCGCCACAGGGAGCACATGACGCTAAGTACAGGGAGTGCGGCTTTCACGGAGGATTGTGGGAGCATAAAGGGGGAGTAGAGCTAAAGGGGCACTTGAGGAGAATGTGTCATGGGGTGATACCTGAGCTGAGTCTTAAAGGATAAGTTTGCCGAGAGAGAGAGAGAGAGAGAGAGAGAGAGAGAGCGAGCGAGCAGGTGTTCCAGTTGGAGGGGCAGTTTGAGCAAAGGCAGAGAAAGGAAACTGCCTTTTGTCTTCCAAGTCCTTTGTAAAAGATTCTGCCTGCCTGTCATTGGGTTGTCCCAACAATAGGCTTCCCGGTATTTGAAATCCCTTGCATTGCCCTATAAGTCTCTGCTCAGGGACCTGGGAGGGCTTGGTGCCTTGGTGTCCCAGGGCCTAACCCAGTGCAGAGAATTACTAAACATTTGGGGATGGCAAGGAGAAAGGGATGGGATCTCTGGACTTCGGTTTCCACGTCATAACATGTGAGCTTGTGGCCAGGTGATTTTTTTGGTTCTGTGATTTGAAAGTGGGTCATGTAAATTCCAGTGGGGAGTGGGCAGGAGTGGAGAAGAGAGCATTCACAGCTCTTCCTTCTTGATCGGCGAACATGGGATGCTCCCTGGTGATACTTTTAGCCAAGTAGCATCTCTTAAAGTCTATTTTCTGATGTATTTCTTCTTTTTATGAAAGCAAGTTGATTATAATCGGCTTTCAGTGTTGCTGGTAATATAGGTTGAAAAATGTTCACTTTGGGTTATTTGGAAGAGTAATCATCTTGGGATAATTGTGGAGCTAATCTGTCTTTAAAAACCAGGAAGACTGACCATGAAAAAGACAACACCTCAGCGAACAGGTTGTGTTTATAAGTCCAGAATGATTGACAGCTCTGCAGAAGAGAGGACTCAGGGGCCACAGGTTTGAAGGGCTGTGTGGAGAAGTTTAGGCAGGTCTGTGTGGCCACAAAAATTAAAGCTGCAGGCAGTATAAGAGAGATCTTGGAAAGATCAGAGCTGCCCAATGAATGCAATAGGCAGCTTTGAGTGAAATCGGATTTCTTGTCCTGAAGGTATGCGGGCTTCCCCTAGGGACCCCTCAGAGACATTTCAAGGGGACTTAGGCATCCAATGGAGAGTCAAATTAGTTGACCTTCAAATTTCCTTTCACACGCAATTGCCAATGAGTCTGGTATGGATGCAAGAGAATTTTAGTGAGATCCTGTCTATAAGGAGGCAGCCATTCTTTTTCTTGGAGAAAAGAGGCTTGTCGTTTTGGTATTGCCATTGTAGTCTCTCATTGTGTCCTTCTGAGAATTAATTTATAGCTACATAGGGCATAAAAGATGAGAACATTACATGCATGAATTATCCTTGTAGCTAATTTTTTTTCCTGGCAAAGTGAAGTGCATTCTTGTGGTTGTTTCTATCTTGGCAAAATCGAGTGTGTTATTTGCAAAGATTCCTAAGAACACGGTGCCTCTGACATCTGCTCGGGGGATTGTTTGATCTTGCAGGCCTCCTCCAGGGCACAGCAGCAGCTCCTCGCTGGAAGGCGCCTCGGTGGCCATCTCGTCTCACCTGCATTTCCCCACCACCCTCGTTTCACAAATACCACAGCGGGGTTAATAATGGACGAGAAATGGCTCGTTGACCAGGCTTCTTCCTGCTTCTCACAGCTCATGGCCTGCTCTGGCCTCTGTATCTAAGCCTCATCCTTATATTCCTAAACCCACGTGTGTGAAACCCAGCTCTCAGCTCAGCTCCTGGGACCCAACTCCGGAAGGGCACTGTCACCTGACTCTATTTCCCCAAAAGACACCTGAGGTTATACCAGTAGGCAGGGATGAAGAGGGCAGAACCAGAGACCAACCCAGCATTTTGACCTCTAGTTTTCCTTGCCTGTGGGCACTGAGCCAGAGGAGACCCCAGTCTGCATCCTGCCTCTGCCATTCAGTGCTCCTGTGAGTTCCAAATGCTTGCTCATCTGTGAAATGGGGGTGATGAAAAGTTCCACCTTGTAGGGTAACTGTGAGGGTTGAGTCAGATAATACCTGCAAAGCTTTTACACACAGGGTCCAGCACATAGTATGTGCTCAAGTAAATGGTGGCTTATTATGGTTTGGTTTTGTTTACTTGACACTCTGCTCCACTCGACTCTTTACTATCCGGAGCCTTTTTGGAAAATAAAAAAAGGCAGTTCCTCTGACTTTGTTTATGCAGGTGCTCGCTCTGCCGAATGTTCTGTGGGTGAGTTTTATTCCAGGGTTCTCTCCCCCTCTTGCGGCAAAGGAGGGACCAGCTGACCTGGAAAGTGGACGCTGTGCTGGCCTCGCTGTCATTTAAGCTCCTGCCAGTGCGGAGGTCAGCCCTCACACACCGTTGGCCATTCCATTCACAGGGAGGACAGATAGGCTGGTCTGACATCTCAGGTCAGTCACCAGGGAGTCAGGGTTTTTCCAAGAGGAAAGCACAGCATCTTCTTTCTTCTGAGGGAGGTGGTATGTAGTTGTCCATGAAAATTGGGGGAAGTGGAGCCCCCCTCATCCCAGACCCAGGCTCTCCTGGCATTTTCCTCAGGCCCCGAGTCATCTTCTAACTGCAGCCAGAGCTTTGCACACTATTAATAGCAACACCCTTACCAACTCCAGATACCGTGCAAGCTACGTCACAATGTCAGTATGTGCTTTATGTCAGCTTATTAAATCCTCAGAACCGCCTCGCAACAGTACAGGAGCAGCCCCGTTTTCCAAGGGAATAAATAGGACCCTGTGGAGGAGAGAATCACTCTTCAAGGTCACCCAGCTGATAAGTGGCAGGTTCCACTTCCCCTTACTTTTTTTTTTTTAACATATTTTATTGATTTCTTACAGAGAGGAAGGGAGAGAGATAGAGAGTCAGAAACATCGATGAGAGAGAAACATCAATCAGCCGCCTCCTGCACAAACCCTGCTCTCGTACCCCTCCTGCTAACAGCATCACCTCCCGGGGTCGCCCTCCATCAAGTATGGCTCTCAGCTTTTCCCACAGGGCAGTCT